GACGCCCCCGCCCTGGCCGGTGCCCATCCACCTCGGCACAAATTTCACCCCGCAGACCCTCACCCACTGCTCCCGCAGCTACAAATCTCCTTCTTTACGGGCAGAACTGACAGTCCCACTACCTATGCTCAAACACTATGAGTGCTTCTGCTGCCAGGAGTCATAAATGGCTTCTTCTCCCAAGTAACAAGCAAAAGAACAAGAGGAAATGGCCTCAAGTTTTGTCAGAGGAGGTTTAGATTAGATATTAGGAACAATTTATCCTCTGAAAGGGTTGCCAGGCCCTGGCACAGGCTGCCCAGGGCAGTGATGGAGTCCCTGGAGGGACTTAGAAGCCCTGAAAATGTGCTGCTGAGGGACACAGTTTAGTGGTGGCCTTGGCAGTGCTGGGTTAATGGTTGGACTCCATGACCTTACAGGTCTTTTCCAGCCAAAATGATTCTATGATTTTTGTACCTTAGAAACACTGTATCCTTGCAGAAAGGAAGCTGCTCTCTTTTTAAGCCATGGATACTTCCCACAGCCCCTCACCGGGCTTTGCTCTGTGAAGGACCTGCTCTGGCTGGTCTCCTCTGTGCTATGGCCAGATTGTTCCCAGCCTGCTTTCCATTTCTTTTCATAAGTTTCCTGGACCTGTCCTACCTGTTTTCAGACCTCTACTTGGCTTAGTTGTTTTTCACTGAACAGGTTTACACCTGTGTAAGGACACAGAGAGAAGGAACCAGTGCATCATCCCTCCCCTCTCTGATCCAGAAACGAGGCAGTGAACGTGTCACTGCTCAACTCAGGTATCAGAAACAATTCCTGGCATTGACTGTGTCTGGAGGTTCTGCTGAAACACACTTGCTTCTCCATGAGGATCTCTCTGCTCTGGTAACAGGATCCAGATGCCCAGTGCAGCTCTGGTCTGACCACAGGCTCCATATCCAATGGCCCTCAGGACGTTGCCATCTGACAGGCTGATGTTCTTGTCCTCAGTGTGGTTGGGAGAATGAGGTTAGGGAGCTTTTGAAAATTGTTGGGAAAGATCTTCTGGGGTTTTGTTTTACTTTGCCTTGTTTTCTCTCACTGAATTGTGGCACCAGCCCAGGCTTTTCTGACTGTTAGACCCATCTTTGAGTTTTTAAATATAAACAATGTAGTTATTCAGTTTTATTTCCTCCAAGACATTGGGAAGCACCAGCTCCCCCCCTGGCCCAACCCTCCCTTACTGCTGGCCTGCAGGCATTGGTGGGGACACTCACAGCTCTGGCGCAGTGGCTCCCAACATACTAGTGCCCCTTCTGGGGAGGGCATGGAGCAGCTGATGTCCCCTAGAAGGCTGATGTCAGGCCATTGTGTCCCACCAATCAACATTGCCTGCACTGGGAGGAGAGGTAGCAGCAGCTATACCAAACCCCAGCACAGAACTGGTGGTGGAGACTGGGACACCCTTCTACATGATGCTGACCATCTACGGGTGACACTGGGTGACTCTGGCAGTAGGTTCAATCCCTTGCTGACTTCAGCAGTACATAAGTATTGACACGTAGGTGAATCTTGTCTCTGCAGAGGACACATGGTGATTGCAACCATGAAGTTGTTCCCTGATGACCATTTTCAAGTAGACACTGTGGAGCCCCTAGTGCTGTGTTCTCCTGAGGTAGAGTGAGGTCTGGTAGGGAACTAGCTGCGTGTCTGTAGACTCAGTGCATGCATGCTGCTGCCTGGCGAGTGGCCCACCAGTGCAGCACAGCGCACCTCTACCTATTGCTCTGCAGGCCAAAACAGGGCCATGTCCAAAGCAGGTTGGCCTCCAGCCAGCACAGGTCACCAAACCACAGCCAGGAATGGTTGGTTGGGGCTTGGTTAAAATCAGACCAGAAGCTGTGCTAACAACACTCCAGATACCAAGTTCTGGTGCTCCCCATCACTATGCAAGTCATGAAGTGCAGTTGGTATTAACTCTTCCTTTCAGACCCAAAGCTGAGGGGGTGCAGAGGGGAATACCAAAGTGTCAACCCAGAAATGCATCTGTCCCCAGAAAACCTCTGGGCAGAGGCCAAAAATGGTGAGGGGAGTGTGGTCAGGGAGACACAGCACATCTTCATATAGTTTGATCTTTCCAGGTCTGAAATTCCATTGCATTTTCCATCTTGCTGCTCATAGGGCCTATCCAGGACATGCTCTGTTTGCTTTGGGCAGGTTGGGTGCTTCTCACAGTCACTTTTCTTTTCTCCAGACTGCTTTTGCCCTTTGAAGATCTGTGAGCAGGAAGTCTGGTGGCTGCCTA